CGGGTGGCCGGCTCCGGGCGCTGGGGGCGGCCGGGAGTGGCCGGGCCGCCGCGGGCTGACGCTGTTTTCTGTCGACACAGGCTTGTAACCCTCGCCGGCGTCCAGGCGCGCCGGTTGGGGTCGAGAAAAGGCCCCGCGGCACTTGAGTCAGACTTTGCGGGGGCTGAAGACAGAGTGGGGTCACTGGTCAGCTGGGGGTTGCTGGCGGATTTGTGCCGGGTAAGGAGACGTGGGCCCCAGGAGCCCCGCGCCCCCGCCCGCCCGCGGCCCTCCTGGGGCTCCCCTCCCCGCCCGGGCGGACCCCTCGTGTGTGCGCCCCGGGGCGGCACAGCCGGGCCTAGTGCCCCAGGGACTGCCTTCCCATCTCTTCCTGTGAGCTTCAGCTGACAAGAAAAACCCGGGGTACACGATTCTAAAGTGCAGATAAAGGGCAGGAAGCCGGGCCAGTACTCGGGTTCCAACAAGACTGGGTCCTGGGGGCTGCCGGGCCCTGGCCCTCCCTCTAAAAGGAGAGGCATTGGGCACCCGGGCTTCCCAGGGCCTGTGCTTCTAGCTGTCAGATTTCCTTTCCCACTGGGAGTTACCGCTTGCTTTGTTGGAATATTTTGACCTTGATTTTGAAATCTTTCTTTATTTCCTGATATCTTATCTGGCTGATGTGGCAATAGGGGCAGTAGGTTAACCCGAGTCTTTGGGAGATGGTTAGCCGCTGGAGAAATGACCACATAGGAGGCGAAGCCGTCCTTGGCCATTTTAGATCTCACTGAGAGCACTCAAGGTTCTGGAGCGGGTAAGGTGTTGCCATTACTAAGGAAAGAGCCTGTCCTTTTTCCCATTTGGGGACACTCCTAAGAGTGTCAGGGCTAGGACTTTTTGCTTCCGGAGTCAGGCAGAGAGTGTAAGTGGGACTGTAGGGAATTGGCAAGATTGTGGCCACCTCGTTCAGAAGGGAGCCTAGTGCCAGCCATTGGATGCCGTGCAGAAGGATGGGCCCAGCTCAAGAGAAGCGGAATAAAACATGTCTCAGGACTTGGCCTGGACTACAGGCGGCACCTCTGTGCCCTCTGCTTATACAAAAGGTCACAGTTGCAAACCAGTGAACTGGAAGCATTTCTCAGGCATATAATTTTTGGAAAAGGAATAAGGCTTCTGGTGGTGCCTGCAGAAATAACTAAGTTCCCCAGGTTTTCCAGGAGAACCCTTATAGTACCTAGAGGAGCCTGAGCACAGGATGTAATCATGTTTCCTTCACCTGGGCGGTGTTCCTCTCCCAGACTCGAAGCACAGTCCTGTTTCAGTCCTGCTTTCCTCCCTCCCCAGCCCCCAGTACGCATACTCCGCTCTGTAGTCCTTCCTGGGCTCAGGTAGGGCTGGGGCCTAGGGAAGGTGGAATATCACAGAAACATCATACAGAGATGTTTGTTTTGCTGTGCATGAGGAGAAGGGCCTGGAAAATGCCCAGCTGGTTGTCCAGGGAAAGGGGAATTGGATATCTCTGTGTACTCTTTAAAGCTGCAGTTCAGACAGTTTCTCTGGCCGTGGCAGATAAGGTTGAATTCAGCTTTAGGTGGCCGCTGGAGATGTGGTCTGTCAGTCAGTGGGTCCTGCCTGCTTTCTGGATCCCTTTTGGAAGAGGCCCCCATTCCAGCACCTCCCCCAGTATTTCTTGGCTGTCTTCTGTCATTTTTTGTGGTGTTCATCTCTTTGACATTAAGACAAAGTATTGTTGGGGCCTCTCAGTTTTTAGATTGAATAGGAGTTTCATTGTTGAAAATAGTTTGGCACCTGACTCCTCGGTGGAAGATGCTTTTGGCTTTTGCTCACTCTTGACACATCCTGGCAGGGTCCTTCGGTTCAACTGGATGGCGATTCTGTGTCCTGCACACTTGAATCTGGAACAAATGGCCACCTGTCCCATGTCTCAGGCCCTGGTGTGTTTTGTGCATGATCCAAATTTTGAGTTCCTGCCTATGAAAGTGAATATTGTTTTCCTCTCTGGCTGGAGGCCTAGGAAGGGTCAGAGGCCCTCGCCCTCCGGGTTCCTCTCTTTGTGGTATTTCTGGTTCGGGTGTGAACACCGCGGGACTGGCACTGGTCACTTCTGACACTGGTTTGAATCACAGGTACAAACCAGCACTTCTGTCCTCTGAGAGCTCTCGAAAAAGAAAATCAGGATTATAGTCTGAAAGAAGTGATTTCCGTGAATATGCATGTGAAGAATTTTCTGTGTTTTTCTTACGAATGTGGTAAAATGAGGATATTTTCTTCTTTACCGAAGGAACTCAGAAAACCTGACACGGCGAGCCTCACACTTTGCTGCTCGGCGAGTCACTTTCCTGGAATGTTGTGTCCCTGGGACGCGGGGCCTCCCAGGCTGAGGGTTTGTCTTTAAGTCTCAGCCTGGGGCGGCCTCCCTTGGACACTGACCGAAGCTGCGCTTTGTCTTCAGGCCCAGCCCTGCTGGGAGTCCTTCTCCATCACACGGACTTAAGGAAGAGCTTGACTGTGGAACAGGGCACCATGAAGGTTGAGTTACTGCCCGCACTGACCGACAACTACATGTACCTGATCATCGATGATGAGACCAAGGAGGCCGCCGTCGTGGACCCGGTGCAGCCCCAGAAGGTGGGAGGAAGGGCCCCAGCACCACCTTGTCCCCTGCCAGGGCTAATAGCTGCAGTGTCCTTGTAGCTTGGCCGAAGCTACACAGAAATTCACTCATTTGGTTTTTGAAAAACAACTGGTGGCCTGCCACTCTGCCGTCGGGCAGAAGGCCAGTGAGGGGTGGAGGCTGCCAACGGCTTGGGTGGGGAGAGCAATGGGCTTCTGTCTGTAAGGTCCCGGGGCGCCAGGAAGCCCCGGAAGTGGTGACCTCCGCTGGAGGGGCTTGGAGAGGTCATGGCTGGCCCTCAGTTGCCAATTGGGTCAAGAGAGACCTGGAGCGGGGGCAAGTCGGCAGGGTCACGACAGGGCACGGCCCCTCCTGGCCAATCCTGGGTTCTGCTGGGCACCCTGCAGCTCGGCCGGCCAGTGCCAGGAGTGTGACCATGGCCCCCATCTTGCCTCACGTTTGGTTGCAGGTTGTAGAAACGGTGAAAAAGCATGGTGTGAAGCTGACCACGGTGCTCACCACTCACCACCACTGGTAAGCCCTCACCATCCAGCTGCTTGGGCCTGTCGGCTCCCGGCCGTGTGCACACCGGGCTGGTGTCCGTGGGGGTTGGGCACTTGCGGGCTCCCTGGGCCCTCTTGCAGGTGGAGGCCTGCGAGATTGGGGTGCTGGAAGCCCTTGTCCCCGCCCAGCCGTGTTCTCTGTGCCGCTGAGGGTCAGCCCCAGTGGGATTCTGAGAAGACGTGTGGGCTCTAGGCTCCGTACTGCTGCCCTGCGCCCTCGGCCCTGGCCCTGGCCTCCATGGGGCGGACCTCCAGCAGCAGATTCTGGGCTTGTGTGATGGGAGACTGGCTTTGATGTCAGGGAAGAAACTATTCTAGACCTTAGTGTTTTTAAAAATCAAGCAGCTCTGTTTGGAGAGGTTGTGGTTCTCGAAATTGAAGGTAAGGGATGAAAGAAGCACCCAAGTGTTTGGGTTTTGAGGGCTAGAGCTGCTTGTCCAAGACCCTCCTGTGGGGTTTTTGAAATTCTGAGACTTTTCACAGCTTGAAAAAAATACTTGTTTGGCTCTGAATTGTCTTTTCCACGTAAGTGCCTGAAGGCAGCCAGCGACTCTCACTGCACTTCACCTGTGAGGTGCGGTGTCTCCGCGGGGGTGTCCTGAGGACGTGGGTTGGCCAGAGTTTGCTCAACGGTGGCCACTTCTTGGTTGATGTCACTAAGGCACCCAGAGTCTTTGGGGTTTAGCCCCGGGGGCATCAGCTGTTAATTCCTGAATGCAGAGGGGTCGGCCGGCAGCCTTGCCCTTGGCTGCTGTGCTGCTGGGCTTTCTGGGAAAAAGCCAGATTGCCTCCCCGCGAGCCTCAGGGTTGGCTTCTCGCTCCCTTGCTAAGCAACTGCTGGGTCAGTTTTCTCAAGTTGTGATGCTCTGGGGTTTTTCATATGCCTATGCTACAATACAAAACCCCAAATTCGGCCCCAGACTGAGCCCCAGGGCGCCGGGGCCTCCCTCCCTGCACTAGAGGAGATGGTGAGGCGGTGGTTGCGCAGGTCAGCGGAACGTGTGGATGCGTGTGTACGCGTTGGCGCTGCCCTGTGTGTAGCAGATGGCGGGGCGGGGCTGGGCGGCGCCTGCTATCTGTGCGCCCTGCTGGGTCGGGGCCCCTCGAAGGGCTCCGTGGATAAGTGTGTAGTGAGGGGCAGGAGCCCTCGCCTTGTCCTGGGAGGTGCAGGGAGCTTGGTGCAGGGCCATGGCTGGGCTTAGGCTGTGCACGTCCCGGGTGCGTTATGGGCTGGTCGTTGGCCCCTGATCGCCCTCGGGCATTGGTGATCGATTTATGTATGTATGTTTATTTGTTTAAAGATATAAGTGTTTTCATTTTTATTTTTTAAATTTTAAAGAAGTTTTTATTTTAATTCCAGTTAACATATGGTGTTATACTGGTTGCAGGTGTACAACATAGTGATTCAGCAGTTCTGTCCATTACTCCGTGCTCATCACAAGTGCGCTCCTTAATCCCCATCACCTACATAACCCTTCCCCCCACCGCCTCCCCTCTGGTAACCATCTGTTTCTTCTCAAGAGTCGGCTTCTTGGTTTGTCTCTCTTCTTTTCCCTTTGTTTCTTAAATTCCACTATCAGTGAAATCATGTGGCGTTTATCTTTCTCTGACATTTCACTTAGTTTCTGTAGCTCCATCCGTGTTATTGCAAATGGCAAGGTTTCATTTTTATAGTTGAATAATATTCCATTGTGTGTGTGTGTGTGTGTATGTACACACACATATATATACCACATCTTTGTCCATTCATCAGTTGATGGACACTTGGACTGTTTCCATAATTAGTCTCATAGATAATGCTATAAACATCGGGGTGCATGTTTCCCTTTGAATGAGTGTTCTTGCATTCTTTGGGTAAAGACCCAGTACTGCAATTATTGAATCATAGGGAGTTCTATTTTTGACTTCTTGAGGAACCTCCATACTGTTGTCCAGAGTGGCTGCACCAGTTTGCATTCCCACCAACAGTGCACGAGGTTTCCTTTTTCTCCACATCCTCATGAACACCTGTTGTTTCTTGTGTTGTTGATTGATGTTAGCCATTCTGACAGGTGTGAGGTGGTATCTCATTGAGGTTTTGATTTGTATTTCCCTGATGCCGAGTGATGTCGAGCATTGTTCATGTGTCTGTTGGCCATTTGGATGTCTTCTTTGGAAAAGTGTCTGTTCATGTCTTCTGCTGATTTTTTAAATTGGATTATTCATTTTTTGGGTGTTGGGTTATATAAGCTTTTTATATATTTTGGATACTAACCCTTTATCAGATATGTCATTTACAAGTATCTTCTCCCATTCTGTAGCCTGCCTTTTAGTTTTGTTGACTGTATCCTTTGCTGTGCAGAAGCCTTTTATCTTGATGAAGTCCCAATAGTTCATTTTTGCTTTTGTTTCCCTACCCCTGGCAACGTGTCTAGTAAGAAGTTGCTATAGCCAAGGTCAAAGAGGTTTCTGCCTGTATTCTCCTCTAGGATTTTTATGGTTTCAGGTTTTACATTTAGGTCTTTCATCCATTTTGAATTTATTTTTGTGTATGGTGTACGAAAGTGGTTCAGTTTCATTCTTTTCATGTGGCTGTCCAGTTTTCCCAATACCGTTTGTTGAAGAGATGGTCTTTTTCCCATGGGACATTCTTTCCTGCTTTGTCGAAGATTGGTTGACCATAGAGTTGAGGGTCCATGTCTGGGCTCTCTATTCTGTTCCATTGATCTGTGTGTCTGTTTTTGTGCCAGTACCATACTGTCTGGGTGATCACAGCTTTGTAATGTAGATTGAAATCCAGAATTGTGATGCCACCAGCTTTGCTTCTGTTTTTCAGGATGGCTTCGGCTATACGGGGTCTTTTGTGGTTCCATAGAAATTTTAGGATTCTTTGTTGTAGCTCTGTGAAAAATGGGGGTGGTATTTTGATAGGCAATGCATTAAATGTGTAGATTGCTTTGAGTAGTATAGACATTTTCACAATGTTTGTTCTTCTAGTCCGTGAGCATGGAATGTCTTTGTTTCTGTCCTCTTCAATTTCTTTCGTAAGTGTTCCATAGTTTTCAGAGTACAGTTCTTTCACCTCTTTGGTTAGGTTTATTCCTAGGTATGTTATATTTTTGGTGCAGTTTAAACAGGATCATTTTCTTAATTTCTCTTTCTGCTGCTTCATTAGCATATAGAAATGCAGCAGATTTCTATGCATTGGTTTTGTATCCTGCAGTGTTACCGAATTTGTTTATCAGTTTTAGCGGGTTTTTTGGTGGTCTTTTGAGTGGGACATTGCCATTTTATTTATCATTAATTTATTTTTAGGGAGGGAGAGAGCAGGGAGGGCAGAGAGAGAGAATCTTAAGCAGGTTCCACCAATCTCACGACCCTGAGATCATGACCTGAGCCGAAATCAAGAGTTGGACGCTTAACCAACTGAGCCCCCCAGGTGCCTGGACATTGCCTTTTTAGAAGACAGCTTCCACCTGCTCAGGGCAGTGGGTCCTGAACTGGGCCACCTGTGAGAGTCATGCGGGTGGGGCGCTTTAAAACTCCTGCTCTGCAGGCTGCCCCTAGGCCAACTGCGTCAGGATGTGGGGCAGGGAGTCACGACTTGGTGCTCCTTAACAGATCCTCAGGTGACTCTTATGTGCCCAAAGCTTGGGAGCTGGGCCTTAGGGATTATCTAGGTGTTTGGGATTTGGTTTGTTTGTTTCAGAAGCTTCCGCAGCCACAGGGCAGGAGCACAGAAATGCCTCACTTTGGAAAGACATGTCTCAGAATGTTCTTTTCAGTGGAGCCAAATGACAAGCCAGTTTCCTGTGTTGGGAGATGCGTTTCTACCGAGAAGGCAACCAGGAAAGGAGACTTGTGGTAGGGGTTTAAGAGCAAGCAGGCCCAGTCCCATCAGCAGGAGCCCAGGTCTCCTTTCCGACTTCCAGGGACCACGCTGGCGGGAACGAGAAGTTGGTCAAGCTGGAGCCTGGGCTGAAGGTGTGCGGGGGTGATGACCGGATCGGGGCCCTGACTCACAAGGTCACGCACCTCTCCACACTGCAGGTGAGCAGTGAACCAACGGAAGGCACTCCAGCGGGCAGGGGTGCGGTGGGGACACTTGCCCCCACTCCTGGCATTTCCTCCCTGAGCCAGGGACCCGGCGGGTGGAGGGCGGCATGCGGAGGGTGCCTGGCCGCGGGGAGAAGCGGTCAGGCCCGGTTTTGAGACAGTCGGGGAAACTGGAACACGGACAGTGACCCGTCACTGTTCATCTCTTGGACACAGTGACCCTGTGAGGAAGTGAGAGGGGGTTCCCAGGGGCTTCCATGGGTGTCGGGGGGGCGGTATGCACATGCGTGCAGCTCCTGGTGCGCGTGTACACAGTGCACACGGCAAACGGGGCAGAGGCGGGGGTCTGTTCGTGATCGGTGATCCTTGGGAAGGGCACACCGATGCTCATTTTGAGTTCAGTCTTTTTGTAGGCTTGAACATTTTTGAGGTTAAGGGTGGGGGGAGGGCTGTGGGAGACAGGAAGGAAAACCAAACAGAAGGCCAAGCACCCAAGAAGGAAAACTGTCTTTTCTAAGAAGCAAGACACCTGGTTCAGATTTGGCCTGATCTTGAGGTCTCTTCCTTTGGTTTTGCACACCAGCCAGCACCAGGTTCCAGGGCGGGCCTTGCCTCTGGGGGCCCCTCGGGGATTGAGTCCCACGGTCACCAGCAAGATGCATGTCCTGCTCAGTGGAGCAGCAGTGACCGAAGTCCTCTCGCCCCTGCCAGGGAGGCTCCCGTGGGGCAGTGGCGGGTGCGAGGGGGGAGGGACCTGTGGGGGGCCCCCCAGCGTGTGGGGAGCACATGCCAGCACCAGCTTTGTTTAAGGTGGGGTCTCTCAACGTCAAGTGCCTGTCCACACCGTGCCACACTTCTGGACACATCTGCTACTTTGTGAGCAAGCCCAGCAGCTCTGAGCCTCCTGCTGTGTTCACAGGTGAGAGAGTTCAGGTGTGCGAGCGGGGGCGAGGAATTCTCTGCAAAGACCCGCTTGACTTAGGGATGTCTCTGAACACTCGGGGCGAGAAGCGGAGCGTTTGCAGCCAGGCCTGCTGCGCCGGGCCCTCAGGTAGAGCCCACGAAGGGCCCCAGCCTCAGGCTGTGTGAGGAGTACTGTCAGGACAGGCCTTTCCAGCAGCTGGGGGCTTCTCCCTTTGGAGAGAAGGTGAGCCGCTGTTGCTGCTGGCTGGGAGCGGCGAGACCAGAATGGCCGGGTGCATCCGCTGCAGCGCAGAGCAGGCCTGTTGGCTGTGCCCAGGCCCCTCTGCCTCCTGACCTTTCTCAGCCAATATCGAGTCTTGCAGAAATTTAAGTCTCAGTCGTGACGTCACTGCAGCGAGGGCCAGTTGGGAAATGCGATGGGGCTCCTGGAGCAGCTCCGCGGTGGGACCGGTGTGCGTGGGGCTCGGTCACCAGCAAATGGGGCTGTGGCTCCTAGTTCCAGCAGAGGTGCTAACAGGTGGAGGGGCCTCTGCGGCCTCGTGAATCCCACAGCACCCCCACACCGAAGCGTGTTTTTAAAGACCACAGTCGTCACTGTCCCCAGTGCAGTAGCAGCAGGTGCAGGCCCTGAGCCGACTCCGAGTTCGCGTCGTGGGACCCCGGACTCACTCCGCCTCGGCCCCCGGTGTGTGGGGCAGGGGAACCAGCCCCTGGCGGAACAGCGAGTGCGGAGGCCCCCTGAGTGGCCATGGGCAGCTGGTGTCGCGCCTGCATCCCTGTCACCGCTGCGCGGGGGAAACCCCCAGATGTCAACCTGCCCAGCTGTCAACCTGCCCAGCTGTGGGGGGAGGCGGGTCCCTGGGGACTGCGTAGACGAGAGAAGCCGTGTCCCCGCTTTGGAAGGTGGGGCTGCCTGCTGTGAGACCCCGCCCTGAGCCCAGGTGCTATGCGGTGTGCCTGTCCTCTGTGGACAGCAACTGGCGGGACGCAGTGTACGGACAAGTCGTGTAGTGTCCTCCATGCTGAGGCTCCAGTGTCTGCCGCCTGGACAGTGAGGACTGGACATGTGGGAACCAGGGTGTCCAGCGAGGCCCCGGCAGCAGGCGTGGGAATAGGGGCTGCTCCCCTGGAGGGAGGGCCCGAGCTCAAAGTCTTCTGCACCTGTGTGTGCCCCAGCCTCCTCTGGGGTCTCGTGGACTTCTTGCTGGTTCCCAGACTCGACCTACCTGGAGAGGTCCTTCAGGGGACAGCCCCAATCCCACCCACACTAGGTTGTCCTGTTGTCTCCTGGGGGGCCCTGACTCCTGTCTGGGGCGGCCCCATGGTCCTGGGCTGTGGCTTAGGCTCCCTGGGAAGAGGTCTGGCCAGCGCTGATGGAGGACACCCCACCACTGGGGCCTGGAGAACAAATGTGTCCGAGCTCCCGCTGGCCGTGGAGCCCTTCCCAAGGAAGAGACCAGGCAGGGAAGCAGCAGCAGATGGCCGGGTGTCAGGAGGAGGGGACGCCCCTTTGAAGGGCTGAGGTAGGAAGGGGTCTGTGAGGTGGTAGGCCTGTGTGTTGAGGACTCAGATGGTGGCTGGTGAGCTCAGGGGGTATCCTACAGGCTGGTGCTGGCCGCAGAGGCTAAGAGGAGACCTAGGGAAGCGGGCCTGGGAGGGCTGCTGGGCCGGTAGGTACAAGGGCTGGTTTGGTGGTCCTGGCGCTAGGGCTGACAAGATGGGGTGGTGAAGAGAGGAGTGGGGTGACCCTAAGGTGTGGGTTTGAGCAGCTGTTTGCGGGGGCTGGTGGTGCCAGTTAGACTTGAGGGGAGAGGTTGGGGGGTAGGAACCGAGAGCTGGGGGTTAGGGTTTCTTGGTTTGTCTCTGTCCTGCTGGCGGCCCCCCACTGCTCCCTGCCTGTCCTGTTTCTCAGGTGACACCTTGTTCGTGGCTGGCTGTGGGAAGTTCTACGAAGGGACAGCGGATGAGATGCATAAAGCCCTACTTGAGATCCTGGGCCGGCTCCCTCCAGACACAGTAAGCGGCAGCCTGCGAGTGGGGCCCTCACCTCCCTCCCAGGCTGCGGAGAGTGGGGGCGCAGGGGCACTTCATCTGGAAGCGAGGCTTTTCTGTTAATGTATTTTTATTGTTGTTTAACACGCATGCAAGAAGTGTCTGTGTCATGCTTGTCGCTAACGGGACCTAGCCCAGAGCCCCGCAAGCCCGTCCTCGAGGGGTCTGAGGGCAGACTGCGGAGACTCCGAGCTCACAGTCTGGTGTTTTCCTCAGAGAGTGTACTGTGGCCACGAGTATACCATCAACAACCTCAAGTTTGCGCGGCACGTAGAGCCCAACAACGCTGCCATCCAGGAGAAGCTGGCCTGGGCCAAGGTGAGCGGGGCGCACCGTGGGGTGTGTCTTCGGGGCAGTGACCATGACGGGGCTCCCCAGGAGCCACTCTCGGGGCACTGTCTCCAGTGTGGGCACGAAGTGCTCCTCCCGGCCCGCCTCAACTAGCGAGGAAGCCCCGGCTGTCTTGTTGAGGTCCTTGTCCACCCAGGGGGTCTGGGCTGGGCCTGGGATCCCGCACTTCTAGCAGGTGCCCAGGGGAGGCCGGAGCTGCGGGTCCCTGACCTGTTCTCCACGTGCTGGGCCACGTGGTAGGCAGGATCGTGAGTTAGCAGCTCAGCCTCCGTGTCTGGGGCCAGCAATGGGAGTCGCCCCAGAGGCTGCTTGTCTGAAAGGCATTTATTTCTGTGATGACCCCAGGGCTCGGAGGTTTGGTTGCAGGGTTGGCTTCTTGTCCCGGACACATCCTTGGTGCTGCTGTGGGTGGTTGGGCTAAGGGACGTGCTCCTGGATGTGGGGGTCTGTCTTCCTGCCCCTCTCAGTCCCCAAGAGAGGGCGTCAGAAAGACACACCCAGGAGTCCTCTCGTGTGGGGCCTTCTGCTCCGTTCAGTGACGACTTTTGTTTTTTAAGCACTGGTTTTTTCCGAGCATCTTTATCAATTTGGAGCATGGGCTTACAGAATCATACTTGTTAGAATACACCACCTGTGTCAGTTGACGAACATTCCTCCTTTTTTTGCAGTGCACATAGAGGAGAGTTTTTCATGACAGCACAGGACTCACCCTGTATGTTTGCTATATGTATTGTTTTGTGGTTGTTTCATTTAATAACGAGTCCTAGTGCCCTGTCCATAGCAATCTATACACACGGAACGGATTCTTTTCAGAGTTATTCGCTTTTAAAAAAAACTCCTCTTTATTGAGGATCATTTTCATTCAATCAGACGTACCTGTTTTGAGTGAGCAGTACGCAGTTTGATGAATTCTGACAGCATGTGCCCGTGTGACCCCAGGGCGTCCCCTGCCGCTCTGCACCCGTACCCCCAACTACGGATGTGCTGTGACGTAGGCCACCCTGTTCTGCAGTCTCCCGCAAACAGAGCCCTAGAACACAAGTTGCATCTGGCTCTTCGGCTCAGCGTAACTGTTGAGTTTCCTTGACGCTCTTTATTTCGGAGCAGCATCTGGTGTGAATGTGCTGTGCTGTCTGCAGACGGCCGGGCTCGTGGGCGGCCCCCAGCTGTTTGCTGTCGGGGTAGCGGCTGCGACCCTCTGCGTGCACATCTTGGCGTGGACATGGGTTTTCGCTGCTCACGGGTGCAGACCCTGGGGGTAGGTCCGGTTCGTGTAGGTTTCACTTGTAAGAAGCTACCAGACGGCCTTCCCTCTAGGAACGCTCCATGCGCAGTGTTGATGTTTTAAATGTGAGCCGTTCTGTGAGGTGTGTGCTGGTGTCTCCTTGTGGTTTTAAAATTTCCATTTCTCTGATGGCTAATGAAACGGAGCGTCTCTCATGGGCTCACTGGCCTCTTACAGGTCTTCTTTTACAAAGCATATGTTCAAATCTTCTGTCCATTTAAAAACGCGGTTGTCTTCTTAGTTGCAGGAATTCCTTATATATTCCGCAAACAAGTCTTTGTCAGAAATGTATATCAAATATTTTCTCTCACTTTTTATGGCTTGCCTTTTTTTTTTTCTTTAACGGTGTCTTCTCAAGAATACAAGTTTATATTTTGGTGAAGATCAGTTTATTTTCTTCTACACTTTGTGTGTCCTAAGAAATCTTTGAACACCCCTTGTCACAGACTCTGCTGTGTTTTCTCCTGAAAGTTTATGGTCTTAGCTTTTATATGTATACAGATTTAATGTAGATTCATGATCCTTTTCAAATTGTGTATGGTCTAAGGTAAAGAGTAGAAGGGCCTTTTTTTTTTTTTTGCATATTCACATCCAGCTGTTCAACACCATTTGTTGGAAACAGTTTTTTCCTCGTTGGACTACCCTGGCATCTTTGCTAAATAAAACGGACAGTGTAGGCATGAGTCACTTCTGGACGCTCCCCTCTGTGCCACTGATCTATAGGACTTCTCCACCGGTAGCACACAGTCTTGATTACTGTAGCTGGTGGTAAGTCTAGGAGTCAGGTTGTATACATCCCCTAACTGTAGACTTTCTTAAAATTGGTTTTGGCTCTTCTAAGTGCTTTGCATTTCCATATAAATTTTAGGATTATCTTGTTAATTTTTTTTTTTAAAGATTTTATTTATTTATTTGAGAGAGAGAGAATGAGAGACACAGAGCACGAGAGGGAAGAGGGCAGGGGGAGAAGCAGACCCCCTGCTGAGCAGGGAGCCCAATGTGGGACT